CAGCCAACGATGGAATTCCTGCCTCTTGTCCCCAGTGTTCAGATGAGCAGCTGCCAAAATCAATATGAATCATAACTCATATTTATCCAGCAGGCTGACCCATGACCCCCCCCACAAACACTGAGTGAAGACATGCAGCTGCTGCAGCACAGTACACGCCCAGACATCATCGTCGTCGTTCTCTGATTTTTGTTCCTCTGTCCAGACTTTGAGGAACCAGAAGATCCCTCCACCCGGTCCTTCTTCTCTGAAATCATCTCATCCATCTCAGACGTGAAGTTCAGTCACAACGGCCGCTACTTGATGACCAGGGACTACCTCACTGTCAAGGTGTGGGACCTCCAGATGGAGAACAAGCCTCTGGAGACGTACCAGGTACAGATCCATCACGGCTCCGTGGGCGCCCCCTGCAGGAACTATTGATTAGATCTGGATTAAATAAAAACCTATTGATTTTTGACCCTTAATCCTGTCTCAGTGTCACTGAGCCTGCGGGGGGCGCACTCTGTCCTGGTGTGTGGTCACATGGTCTGGGTTGGAAGACCATCTCAGGTCAAAGGTCAGCAGAGTTGAGAGAGTCAGGTCTGATCTGTGTTTTCAGGTTCATGATTATCTACGAGGAAAACTGTGTTCTCTGTACGAGAACGACTGCATCTTCGACAAGTTTGAATGTGTCTGGAACGGATCGGACAGGTGAGACGCCATCCGTCCGTCCATTCATCCATCCATCCGTCCGTCCATCTAACGCTCCACCTTCTCTCTCTCCTCAGCGTCATAATGACCGGCTCCTATAACAATTTCTTTCGAATGTTTGATCGAAACACCAAACGTGACGTCACACTGGAGGCCTCCAGAGAAAACAGCAAACCCAGAGCCATCCTGAAGCCTCGCAAGGTACGGGTACTCTTCCTCCTCTCTTCATCATCATCTTCATCATCATCAGTTTCTGGTTAAAAACAACACATTTTCCTCAAGTGAAACTCAGTAAATTCCTTGTTTGTCCTCCAGGTGTGTGTGGGGGGGAAACGGCGTAAGGACGAGATCAGCGTGGACAGTTTAGACTTCAGTAAGAAGATCCTTCACACCACGTGGCACCCTCACGAGAACATCATCGCCGTCGCCGCCACCAACAACCTCTACATCTTTCAAGACAAGGTGAACTAACGGGCGGTCTGCCCCGCTGACCCCCGACCTTCAGTCATGTGATGAGGTGCAGACGGGAGGATGGGGTGGGGGGGGACCTCCTGCTTTCCCCATCTTTCTCCTCCTCTTCCTACATCCTACTGCTGCTGGTCTTTGTTTTGTTCCAGACTGAAACGGAAAAATGATCCAGTGAATTCTGGGAAATGTGGAGGAAAAAAAAAAGAATGACATTTTATTTATTTAGTCCTGGTGGCCCCCCCCCCCCCGACCCAGGACTGGATCTTTGTATTTATGCAACAGCAGGACGGCTGCATGAGTGAAGTCATGTAGCAGCTCTCTGCCCAGAGACACTGACAACTCACGCAGCTCACAGAGCGTGAGTGATGCTGGCGCTCGTTTATGTAGCAACAGTGCCCCCTGTCTGTCAGCCTGCTCATGCAGCTGTGCATGTGAACATTGGAGACAGCGCCACCTGCTGCAGGAATCCTCCAGGAGACTGTCTCTCTAGCACCACACTGTGTCTGTGCTGAGGCCCACGTGGTGTGGACTGTACATGAAGCCCAGCTGGGCCACTCTTTGGTCTAATGTTACTGTTTCTCTGGGTCACTGGGTGTGTTTAGAAGTCTGGTGCCTTGTGTTGGT